CCTATAAAAACATTTTTCAGTGAAACTCCAGATTTTCTTTCTCACCTTGTGCTAATTTTCCTTCTGCGATGCTTTTTTGCATCTGATGGCTGAATCCTTACAAATTTTGTCACCGATTAACCTGTGAAACTAAAGATCAGTAAGACAATGTCATTAGTGTAACACACCCAGGCAACTAATTCTCATTACAACTTAATGCCATCCACACAGACGGCAGAGGGTCACGGGGAATGGCTAATGGTAGCCGACAAATGTTGGGTGTATTAGTCACAAAACATTTGCTGAATTCCATCAGAATGTCGTGACAACCTTCACAGCTAGTCCCAGCGAGCTGCAGCAGGCACTGGAGTTGCCGGTGACAAGCCGTCACTCTATCTTGCTTGAGCTTTATAGCACCAGTCAAAGCAGTCAGGGAAGATTGAAGTGACAGAGGCCCACTGAGTAAATAGTGAAACATGCAGCACATCATGAAATATTCAGCCCGGGTGTAAAAGCTCTAAATGCTTTTTCAATTATTAGCACCTGCACTGGCTGCATACATCTAACACTAACCGCATGTTAATTGCCACAATTTGTTAGGGTAGTTGTAGGAGAAATTTGAAAGGGATGAGATGCTCTGCACTGAGTCTTCACTTCCAATCCTATTTTCTGCAAACTCGCTCCTTAGTCCTAAAACTAAATATGCACAAATGTGTGTACACACACAAAGACACAAAGCCCAGTAGGAAAACTCAAAATTACTGGCCCGCACACCAGGTGAGACCCTGAATCACATCAAGACACTGCATTACTGACAGGAGAMTGCTAACTGTCCTGTATGCAAGATCCAGATCTCGTATGGCTGCCTGAGGAAGGCATAAATGCAGTTTTTGCCCAGCAYAGAAAGAAATTATCCTGCTGCCAGGGTTGCTTCACCACTTATTTTATAAAAGGAAACATTTTGGGCACTTTGGTCAGCTGGGTTTCTACTGGTAATAYAGCACTCAGTCCCAGGCTTAAATTCTGGGGAGTTCTACAGCAGATCACTAAATAGGGTGTATTGCTGCAATGCACAGTCACATACGAGTGCTGTCAAAAGGATTGAAACAAATGACAAAGTCCAAGGAAATGCTGATGTGAGGTAGCCATTTAACCTTATTGGTTTTCCCAATTCTGTCCATTCCCAGCCATAACTTAGAAGTTTCAGAGTCAAAAATCTTATGTGAATGTGCTTGGAGTAATTGTAAATGTCTGCAAGGAAAGCAGTGCTCTTTAAAATGTAATGTTCATCTAAGTAGGTTTACTGGAAATGAGATTTATGGTTTTGCTTTAGGCTGTTATCTTCCAGGCAAGCTTTTTGGGTTTGTTGCAGTATCGTGGCATTTAGTGTCCTTCTCAAGTTTAATTGATCATAAGTGGCATTATATGTTCTTCAAGAAACTTAGAAAGATTGTGTTTCATCTTCTTTTTAAGTCATGCGTATGTAATATTTGCCATAAGAGCCAGAGAATCTATTTTTAACAGAATATTATGGATGAGGAAAATATATAACTTTAGAAATTTGAGAGTTCTTTTTTTCTTTTTTATTTGTTTGTTTGTTTCTCTCCTCCTCCATAGGTGTCATAGATACCTGTCTTTTGGTTGCTGGAGTGAGCAAATGATTTGATTATTGTGATGCGAAACAGCATCTCATTAAAGCAGATACTCTAGTTTTAATTGTTAGAAGGTGTTTTTTTCTCTTTCTTTAGTGTGAATTTTTCAAGCACTTTCTGCAAGCAGATGACTTTCCAGCCCTGGAGAACACAATAGCTGTGGCACTAATGCAGGCTTTTCCACAGTAACCTGCCAGTGTGACTCAAGCATAACTTGACAGGGCCATCTTCAAGGGTGAGGGGGGCAGTGAGGCTCTGTAAGCATTCAGACCATGATACAGCTGTAAGGACAACTACTGTAATGCTTTGTGTAATATGAATTTTAATGGGAACAGGGTGTCCAAACCCCTTAGGCAGATTTGACAGCATCGGCCTTTGTGTGTCTGTCTTAATTAATTTTTATTATTTGCCAAACAGGTTTAGATGATCGGATTAAAGAGACTGTATATGTCCAAAGTAGTAATACTATTTTATTAATTTATTATTTTATAACACAACCGTGTTTGTTAGAAAAACAAGTCCAGAAATCACTTCTGTTTGTAAGTATCTGCTAAATCCAAGGGCAAAGTCTTATCTTAGCAATAACAAGTCTCAACCTCTGTAGACATCTATAAGGATCRTTTTATTCAAGATGAGAAATCATTGATAAGAGAGAGATGAAAATAATAGTGTAGCCCAAAAGAGATGAATTTTAGAAAGTCAGTTATATTGAAAACCATGGATTATGAAATATAAAATGGCTAATCTTATCACATTTCCCTCTCAGGAATTAAAATGACCTATTGATTTTCAAATCTCAGGGTAGAAAAGAAATTAGAACTTAGTTTGTGGCATTTTAAAGATTTTTTTTTTAACATAGTGTTAAACTATGTTAAACTCCCTGATGAAGCGAAAGGGAAAAGAGACAATTCTTTCACACGCACATCTGATTTCTGAAAAGAAAGAGAGAAGTGAATATTTCATCAGTGAACTTTCCTTCTGTTTCAGTGATATGCAATGAAATGCTCACGGAGAACTGCCTTGTGCAACTTAAATAACAATAATAATAAATCTCTCAATAGGGACTCCTGAAGAGTCTTAAGCCTTTTGAAGAGACTTTTTATTTGAAAACTTACAGCTAGCATCCTATCAGAGATAACAGTATACTACTGAGGAGCAAATGCTTTGCATTGGACCTTAGGGAAACAAATGGCAAAACTTCAGAAACATCATCTTCCTGGTGTTTACACTATCCCAGCCTCCAAGAAATCACCTATTTCACCATTAATGACCTTTACAAAGCTTCATAGCTCATAGACAAATTACTAAACCCAAAACAATGAAAACAAAAAAAGCTAGGAACGGAGTAGTTAGGGATAAAGTACCACTCAGTGTTGACTGAACTTTAGTACAGCCTCCAAAGGGGTTGTGTCCTAGGGCCCAGACCTCACCGTACCAGATGCAACTACTACAAGCAAGGAATAGGCTATGAACAGTGTCATGCTTAGCTTTCTCRGCCAAAACCACTACTATTGCAGGTAACTGAACCGTAACATGTAGACTGCTAGAGTAGAAGAATGCAGAGTCTGGATGTTTTTCTAGAAATTAAAACAAATGAACAAGAAGTCCTCTTTGGTACTGCTTTTACACCAAGAAGTCCCTTCTGCCTCCCACAAAAGAGGGAGCAAGCACTATAGCTCCATTCTTGCCCCTGGAGCAGGGCCAGAAGCTCCTTGCAGTCCCCTCAAGACTCCTCTGATGCCAGCAGGTTGCTGGTGAAAGGCACTGAACTGAATCTCTGTTGAGTGAATGTGAAAACTAGGAAAGCTTTGCATTTCTCTTTCCAGGTGAGTTTGCCATGTAGTGCACTGCTTCTTATTAAAGTGTGAAAACCCTCAGGTTTACCTGGATTGCTGTATTAATAGTTTCTCAAGTCCTTTAAGCCCCTTTCTGTTGAGTTGAGCCCATGCGACTGAAATGAATGAGAAATTTCTATTGATTTCAGTGACTATGAAATGACACATAATTAATCACCCTAAAGGAACTACAGATTATACCATTTTTAGGCATGAAAGCAAAACATTTTTAAGCATGGTAACATAGCATACTATATTCAGAGTAAATTAATCTGTATCATATACAGTGAACAAAGTTTGCTTTCGTCAACTCTTCAAAAGAGAGGTTCAGGCCACATTCAGTTGGTTCATATACCTTAAAAGCAGGGAACTTGGAAGTTTTGAGAGTCCAACTAATATGTTTATTTCTTTAAAAGGCTTGTAAAAGCAAGTTGCTTTAAAATCTGGCGGCCTGCCACTGAATATTTAACATATACCTTCTTTGCAAGTATTTCCATCTTTGAAATGTTTTGATTCTGTATCAGTATATTTCTATGAGGATATTTCTAGGATTCATGAGAGAAACCTTGAGCTGAAATTGTGTAGTTTGGGGCCAGATGAAGGATTTTAAGATTGCTTTCCCCTTTGATTTGTAAACATAGTCCTCATTCCARTGATAGTGTATAATGCAGTCCTTACTAGTAATTGACAATATTGAAGCCACTTTTTTCCCTTAATGTTTATTTTTCAGCATATCTATTAAAGAACTATATGTTGCTCTTTGCTTAGGTAATTATATTGCTGGGAGAGTATGTTTACAAAAATTTTTTATTTCCTTCTCTTTTGAAGAGCCTACTGCTTTAAAATTTTGTTGGGAAAAAAAAAAAAAAAAGCTGAGAAGGTTACCACAGATACCGTTGTCAGAGAAAATGGACATTGTTGTTTAGTATTAAAATCATGTATTCCAGATGTGGGCATTTGTTAGTCAGTCTGCTCTAAAATGACATACTGCTGAATCTTTAAAGGGCTTCAGTTTGGGAAAGCAAAATATGATTGGGCAAATTGCTAAAATATTTAAAGTGCAGCCTGTTAAAGCTTTTACTGTGAAGAGCATCACGTCAGAAGTTGTATGTGGTAAAAGCAAATAATTGGCTTTCCATACTTATCCCAGTCAGTCAGCATGGGGCTCTGTTCCTATCCCTTCTACTTCATTGCAGATGCTAATAGCAACTCTTTGAAATTTATTTTGGAGGGGTGGGGCTGAAAAAAAAAATTGTGGACATGAAAGTGTCAGGAAGAGCTGTATAAAATCAAATGGTTATTGGTCTAGAAAGCTTATAAAAAATTTCCAAACTGCATCCAAAATATAAAAACTCCCTTTTAAAATTAGCTTTTATTTTAAAGGGGTTGCAGAGTAAGCATGTAAACATGATAAAGTGTAAATACATTTCATTTTTTACTTTTATCCCTCTTTGGACATAGCTCTTGGGATATCTTTCCATTCATAATTCATAATATTTTCCACTTATGTTGTCCTCAACTTGTTTTTCTGCAGGCATGACCCCTTGTTAATTCCTGGCAATGAACAGATTGACAACATGGATGCCAATGTGAAAAAATACGATTCCACAGGGATGTTTCATTGGTGTCCAGCCAAGGACATTGAAAAGGTCATTCTGGTAGGTATCGGTAATAAGCTGTGTTAGAATAGAGGTTTTTTGAACCATAGGACTGATGTCTAATGGGTTAATACACTCATATCTACTACCATTAAACACAACATACTGAAATTGGAAACACAGTATGGTGAAATTGAAGCTTCCATTTTGATTAGAGAAATATGATTGTATAAATCTGTCTGCCAAATACAACAATGTGAATTGGATCAAAATAGTCTATGTTTTGTTTTATAACTGGCAATAATATAATTTTGCATTTGCATAATTTATATCTTTTGAGAGTCAAGGCTGGAAGTGTWTAAGTGTCTATGTATCCTATTTGTCTCTTTACACAGGGTGATAATGCATTCTAAAATAGGCAAGTGTTGCTTTACATTACTTTTTATTTATGTGAATTTTACTCTCTCAAAATTTCTCTATTTCCAACATTTCAAGATATCCAAATAGGGCAGAGTAAGTAGTACTACTACTCTGCCCTTCTAGCATATTGCACTGGGCCTAATCTGCTTGTTTAACTGCAGAAGCCATAAAACTGACTCAAGTAATTAAAAATAATTAGAAGGCCTATCACAGAGCATTTTGCTCAGTGAGAGTGTGCCACTTGTGTTCATGTACTCATATCTAGGAGTAACAAGTAAGTAACTCCAGATCTCATGCACAAAACTGATGGTATTTGAAATGAACTCCCTGATGGAACTTCACTTTGTCGCACTTTATAAACCTTTTCCTGAGCCTGCTGTCTTAGATTTCCCTGCATTGTGGCATGGTGTAGCCAATAATGATGACAGCCCTGGTTTATTCTAACAATGAGGGGATAAAAGCCTGTTCCCACTTCTTCTCAAGGGTTTCTATAATAACCATGATGTTGCCTGGAATTGCAATATTGGTGTTTAAACAGTGGAGTTAGTCAACTGCAAGTTCTAGTGACTGAAGTGTGGGACAGGATGTGGGCTGGACAGCTTAAGTTAGTGTGCTTTAGTGTGCATTCAGCAGGCAAAAGGGAGCAGCTCTACATTCAKTGCCTAGTAAAAGACAGAGACAGAATCTGTCTTAATGCAAACATATTTTAGCAGATGATTTACAAATGACCTTTGCATGTTGTCCTTCTCTGAAAAGTGTTTCTCCAAAAATGACACTGTTCCTCATTTATGATCCCTTGATAATTCCATGTGAGTTTTTCCCCCTACGAGCCTGTGAATCTGTTAGTCTGGCTAGGTTTTTTTCTGYTTCATGCATCACCATCAATAAAAACATTGCTGGTAAAACACTTCCATACACCTGTTCAAGCTTACTGTCCACAATTTATGTCTACATTCATATTCATGCAAATTTAATGTCTTCCTTAGAGGCTGTACAAGTACAAATCAGTACATAATTTGAAGATAATGGGATTTTCCAGGTCATCGTCTAGCTGCTACTTGTTGATTATGTCTCAATTAGAAAAAAAAAAAAAAATTATTTCTCTGCCCAAGATTTGTTTTGGCTCTGCAAGATGGCAGGAGTACCAGATAGGGAGAACTCCTCTCCTTTTGGATGTTTGGGTGAAAATACACACTACATACAAATTAATGAGTTTGAAGAGCCATTTTTTTTACATACCTTTTTTTTTTTTTTTTTTTCATGTCCTGTTCTGTTTGTTGTAAAGTGTCAGTGTGCTGGACTCGTAGGCATGAGTCTACTCACATCTGCTAAAGCATTCACTCACATGTTCTGTTGTTTGAGGACCTAGGTCTACTTTCATGTTAGAGTTGTATGATGGTGAATTTGTACCTGTGCATGGGCCCTGTTGTGGCCATTGGGCACTCATGCTTTCCTTTTCATATTGGTCCTGAAAAGGCACTAGTAGTTCATCAGTTAAGGCACAATTTGACATCTYTTTCTATAATCCTTTTACTGACTAAATGCACAGTAGGACAAATTCAATTCTTAATTTCATAATGCTTCTATTGTAACTAGAGTTTTAATCCGTGTGTAGCAACATACAGARGACTGTGATTTGGGCTAGTACAATGTTTTCTTGCATGTTTAAGGGAACAAGAACTAAATTTTCTTCTGCTGAGCACATTTAATGAAGGATAAGTAAGCATAAAATTGAACAGCTATTTTTCCAACCGCTTCTTTGTGCATGAACAATATTGACACACATTTTTCTTGTTTTAAAACTCAAGAAGTAATTTGAACTTCCTTTTCTTTTATGCCTTCTCTTTCTTCTTGTTTTATTTTTTTTAGACTCGAAGTGAAGCAGCGATGACAGTTTTAAGTGGTCATGTAGTCGTCTGTATATTTGGGGATGTTAAATCTGCTTTGATTGGATTAAGAAATTTAGTGATGCCATTGCGAGCCAGCAACTTTCACTACCATGAACTCAAGCATATAGTGTTTGTGGGTTCACTTGAATACCTGAGAAGAGAATGGGAGACACTGCATAACTTCCCCAAGGTTTCAATCTTGCCTGTAAGTCCAAAGCTTTATTATTGATACTTTGTTGTTTAGGACACCAACTGGACAGATTCATATTGACTTTGATCTTAGGATTTTTTACTTTTGTCTAGTTATAGGCCCGAGGACTTAGCTTTTTCCCTTTACTGTGTCTATGAAAACGGAGCCCTGTGAGACCTTATTAGAAGATATTTGCTGCAGTGTTCAGTCCCTCGTCATCCTCATCGGATGAATTTCAGCTGCTATCAAATATATTAACTGTGTTCTCCATCGAACATTCACTGTAGTGCACCGCATGTAGCCAGTTCTGATGTGCTGATTTCCCTGACAGAATGACAGTAGTTATTTGTGACATTATTTATGTATTTATACCCATAAACCTTTGAAAAAAAAGTACTATTTTTCTATCTACATAATATCAATCTATATTTATAAAATTCCTGTAGGCTGGCCCAGTTTATAGGAAGATCACCACAGCATTTCAATTCAGAGTCTTTGCCATAATCTTTGTAAAAAGGAGTTGAGGAAGTTTGGTGGAGTTCTGACCTTTTTGAGATCAATGCTCCTATGGATTTTCTTGAGGACAGCCAATAAAACTGCAGTTCAGAGGTCCTACTTCTGTACTGCTGTGTACCRTTATGATTCCCCTATGCAACAGCTCAAAATGTAAATCATGAGCTTCAGTGCAAACAAAAGAACATCTACAAGTTAGTGATCTTAAATGTTTATAGCTGTAAACGATGCACAAAGATGCAAGAAGTAGAGAAATKAGTCTAAGGTACAATCATTAAAGCAGTGCTCTGTACTTTACTGTTTGGATTTTTTTTTTTATTAGAATGAACAACAAAAAATAGCAGCATAACAATTCTCAATAAATTCATTCCAGCAGTGTAAAATTAATATATCCATGATAGATATAACCCAAATGAAGAATCAAGTAAATAGCTGTAGAGTGGAAAGACAGTCTTTGCTTTCTCTTCAATCTAGGCTGTAGTTCTTTGTTACCAGACACACAATTTTACTGTAAACTCTTGGTTTTGCTCTACAAACTGATGTAACATAGTATCATAAGATATTCTGCTGTTACAAAAATGGTGTCCCTATCAAATTTTGTCAGCTAATATCCCCCTCTTTCTCCCAACTCTTTTAATATTTGTCATTTTGAAGGATAAAATTAAGGAATCAGAACTAAATTAGCAATCTTATTACAGAGTGAAGCAGAAGGGAATCCAGCTGCTGCCTTTGACATACCCAGTGTGATACATTATTCTAACATGTATTTCCAAGGTTTCTTAAGTTTAGGCATCAGGAAAATATCCACCAAGCTTATATTCCCCAATTATTTTGCCCCAAAATTTAGAGCAAATTTGGACTAAGTTCAAGTTAAACAGCCTAGTGACATCTTAATTAACAGATTAACGCAGCCTTAAAAATGTGGAATYTGTAAAGGAGTTACTGTATCTTACTGATAGTAATCAAGGGTGCCAAAGGCAATAAAGTTAAGACTCCGTTACTGCTTTTTTTTTCAGCTTGTCTGTTTCAAAATGGTCATATAAAGTTAAACGTGTCAGCACTATTCTGATCCAATTATACTAATATATAAGTCCATGGAAGTTACTGAGATCATCCTGGTAGAAATCATCTGTTAAGGAAGGCCAATCAAACTCTTTTCTACTTCTTTGTGCCTTTGTTCAGGAGGTAAAACTTGCTGCATATATCCGGTGATGATGTGGTTACAACTACATGTAAAAAAATAAATAAATAAAACAAAAAAGTTCTGATAAAAGAAAACCTTGGAAATTTCATATAAAGCCTTTGTGAAAGTATGTGTTTAAGCTGTTGAATAAACTCTTAAAAAGTAGGCAAATGCCAATTTTATATATCCTCAGGCAGCCTTAACTCTGTCCCTTTGCATAAAATCATTAAGAGTAAGTCTTTAATTAATTACATGATCACATATTATTTTTCCCCACAGGAATCTTGCTTCACTTGATGCACAGTGCAGACACGAAGGGCAGAATTAAGGTGGCAAGAATAATCATATGCCAACTTTTTAGTACTTTATAACTAAATTATATGCTTTGAATATATACTGTTTTCCATGAGGTTTAAGGCTTCAAACTACTAAAGATAATGAGTAGTAGTCAGATTGGTATCTGAAACTAAGTGGAAAATATTTCTCAATCATTGAATGCGAATTGAGYTCTGCTTTAGCTCTGTGCCTTTTAAATTAACTTCTGCATTGAATATTCTCAGTGGAGTTCAGGTAAGGTTCACCATGAGTGATCAAGAGGTGAATCATGTGGTCTTGACTTTGTTTTGTGAATGTGGTTGTGAGACAAGAGGATGTCTTCGTTTCCTCATTCCTTTCAGAGTCTTTGAGGACCAGCCTATGTGAGCTAGTAGAGAATCTAGTTTCCATGAAAACTATTTTTTTCCAGATTCTGTATCTGTGTCCTGTGACCTAGACTTAATATTTTGTATGTAGAGATATGAGCTGCTGAACATTACAGAGAAGTRTTGTCTTTAAACAAAACATGATAGGTGAAGTGTTGTGTGTTGGTTGTGTTAACTATGAAAAAAAGCACAGACTACCACAACATTTCATTTTATGTATTGCATTCTTGGTTTGGGCATTGCAGTGACAGGGAATATTACATGAATTCTGCCCGTTAAGCTAGAGTCTTGTTTCTGTTTGAAAGGGTTTAATCACACAACTTTGAAGATCAGTGTGTTTTCCTTGTGGAAGCACCAAAAGAATGCATTAGAAAGGATTAACTTTTTTTTTTTCTTTTTTGTATTGCTGCAGGTAGGACACACTTTAGAAAAATAGCTCTATCTTGATTGCATTTCAAATGTGTAAGACACATAATGCTTTTCTGTTTAAATCGTTATTTTTTTTGCCCAAGACCTTTGTGACTCTGTGTTAGATAAATAGACATTTAAAACACACCCCTTGTTATATTCAGACAGCCAGAGGTTGCCACATGATAGCACCTTAAATCAAGATAATTTTAAGTCGCAGATGAGATGTAGAATGCTGGCATTATTCCTATTTCTTGTTTGTTAGTAATAGCTTGACTGAGTATTGAGACTGAACCTAAAATGCTGCCATCAGCACCAACTACCCTTTAGATTAGCGCACATCTCCTATTCCCTGGCACATAGTTAGACCCGCTTAATGTCAGAGCATAAAAAAGATACTTGTTAAATAATTTCCCAAAGCTCCTTCTCAATCTTTAATTTGTTTTTCTTTTTTCCCTCTCTCTTTCTCCTCTCCCCCCCCCTCCTCCTTTCTCTGTGCCGAAGGGTACGCCATTAAGTCGGGCTGATTTAAGGGCTGTCAACATCAACCTCTGCGACATGTGCGTTATCCTGTCAGCCAATCAGAATAATATTGATGATGCTTCGCTGCAGGACAAGGAATGCATCTTGGCGTCACTCAACATCAAATCTATGCAGTTTGATGACAGCATTGGGGTCTTGCAGGCTAATTCCCAAGGTAAGGACTGCCCTATAATACTTCTCTGCAGTGCCTACAGGGGACAGGACCTGGCAGGAAGAATATCCCTCACTCAGTAATTCAAAGAGCCCTACATCAGCTTGCTTGACAGTTAAACCTGCTGATTGGTATGATGGCTTTTAAAGGGACCCTCACATAATTTTTCTGCTACATCACAAAGCACATCTCATGGAGGAAAACTGAATGAACCTGGAGATTTTTTTTTCTTCTTCTTCTTCTTTTTTTTTTATTTCTGATTTTCCTCAAAAAAAATAATTGCTTGCTCACACTGCCATGCCTTATGGCTTTCATATTGGTGTAGTCACTATTTCATACACGAAGATAATGCATATTGACTTTGTAGTACATGAAGCCTGTGTCTAACGAGGTTTCTTTTCTATGTAAAGCACATTGCGTCCACAGAGAAAAAGACCTAAGTATCACAGGATTAAAAAATAAAATATAAAGAACAAGAATTCTAAATTAGAGATCTTTACACTTCCTCTGCCTTCTTGCTCAAAAAGCTACTTATGGGTAACTCAAAGATGATTTCTTTCCTTAATTGGACATATATCCATCCCATTTAAAGACATTGAATGAAATCCTTCAATCTTTGCTGAGATGAAGGGACTGATTCACAGGTAGCCAAAGGCTATTTTACACCAACTGTGCCAGGGCAAAACAGCTGCAAAGTAGTCATAAGCACCCTGGCAAATACCATCAGTGTAAAACCAGTCATCTTTCCCTCCCTAAAGGGTTTACAGCTTATGCAGCAAGAGAAAGTCCTACCTTTAATAAACCTATTAAGTGTGCAGCAAATATTCCCTCTGTACTTAGCCTTGTTTTAAATACAGGTGTAAAAGAGTTTTGCTTTGGTATGCAGTTTCCCTGTAAGCTTGTCCTGGAGACAGTCTCAGTGAGGGTGTGAACAAAGATTAAGTTCAGTTCTTCCTTTTTGCACTGTAATGAGTAATTATAAACTATTAGACAAAAATCAGGGGTATTTTTGGGTATAACTTCTTGAATATGCAAAACTCTCTGTTAGATTGATTAATTAATTAAACTGTGGAATTTGATAGTGGAATTAAATTGTACCAGAATATTTGAAAAAGAAAATAATATTTTTCAAAATCTGATTGGATAGTTGTCTGGATAAGAAGTAGATTCAGAGTAAAGAGGAAGGAAATGATTTTCTCATCTCACACATGTTTGAATTTTCAACCCTRTTTGCCTGGCAGTGAGACAACCTGAAATAATTCAGACTTATTCCCTGAAAAACTGGAGAGAGATTAATTTGTTCACACAATAATTAGGAAATCCATTAGAGAARTGGAAAACATGCTTTTGAGTGCCTTGTTTGAGTGATTTAGACCTGAGGTTTGAAAATTTGTATTTCAGAACTAAATGTGCAGTTTCAGTGCTATGCTATTGGCTATTTTATGGTGGGCCTCTCTGTCACCTATCAGCCTACAATTAGAATCATCCAGTAATTTGATCTGTTTGTCTTTCTCACCCCTTTCCTGCTTTCCTTCCCGGTCTTGAGAAAGGGTAGTCTGCGAGAATGTTTCTTGTGCTATTGTACAGAGGTTAGTGGTAATTCCCACACTTGCAGTGCTCACATATAAAGAACCTGCCATTGTAAAGAGAGTTTMTTTATTGCTACAAATGTGAGAGATGCGCCCAAAGAGGCTGCAATAGATTCTGGCTGCTCTGTTTTATCTCTAGGAGTATGTTGGGTCTCAGGCTATCCTAAATGAGATGGAAAAATCTGATGATGTAGAAGTCTGGTTCAGCACATGAACCCCTATTGCTTTTCATCTTTCACTCTTAGACTCTGAGAGACTTGACCAGATGAAACCTGAGAAGCCTGGTCAGACCTCATAGATGACCTTGCTTTCGGTAGGAACACAGACTAGAGAACTTTTGAGGTCCCATCAAGCCTGAATTATTCTGTGGTGTTATGACTYTATAATATAAAGTTGGCTCTCACAGCAAGCTCTTATGGGTCAGGAAGTGTAGTCAGGTGTCATGGTCTAAACCCCTTTGAGCAATGTTTGATATCAGCCCTGTGGAGAAGCAGTGGGAAAATTGGTTAGTACACACAAAAGRGTTCTTGATTTCTTCAGGTAAATATCAATTTGCATGCAAGAAGCACRTTGGCTCTTCATGTTGAAGCAGGACATAACAAAAGGGAGATGACAAGCAGCCTGTTTTATTTTGCAGTGCAGACTAGGAGAGGTTATCCTGAAGCTGTTTACTCCAGAAAGTAGTCATCTTTCCAGCAAATTCTTTGCTTATGATGTCCACAGCTTATGAATTGGTTGCATTGCTTTCCATGCGGCAGACTATCTGGAAGGATTTTCAATACAATAATTAGGCTGTCAGAAGCAATTAGATCAATAGATGGCACAAACTTTACTGGAAATTATATCCAGTGTGACATTTTTGTCTATAAGATGCAGTTTTAAGGTACTGTATGYACAACTACAGTGACAATTATATAAACCTGGTGATTCAGTATCTGCTGGTCAACAAGCAGAATCATAGAGCCACCTTGAAGCTCCTTAGTAGCAATTAAGTACCTTTATTTTCAAAGTATGTTGTCACTTTATTTTTGCTTGAACATTTGTATTATTTAACACACTCACTTATCTTGGGCAAGCATTTCAATTCACATTAGCTGAAACAAGACTTTACTAGGCCAGTCTGAATTTTTCTAAATCTGAATTCTGAATTTAGATGTTCTTCACCTCCACACACCCTTGAAAGAGTACTCTGCTGTTTTTTTTTATATGACTCAATACTGATCATAGTTAATACTGACATTAGAAAATTTGGGTATACAGAAGAATGTCAGTTAACCTTTGACAGAGTATTGAAAAGAGAAGAAACAAAACAAAATGTGTGAACAGCCTGAGAAACATATGGCCTAAACTGCTAGATTTTTAGCCTGGGAATTAGCAGTGTAATTTTACCCTTGCTATTTAAGCAGCTTTTCCAGTATTGTCAAGTAATAATTTAGTGTAATTCTTTAGTAGGGTGGAATCTCATATGAAAACTTGATATGTAGTTTATGTTTATGCCTCTGAAAAAGAAAAAAAAATGATTATTTAATTGTTAGGTAACTGAATGCACAAGAATCACAAATTTTAACTCACTTGGGATTATTTTCACTTGAGTATTGGACAAAAGATGATATCGATACAAGAAGCGTGCCGTAAAAAGCAGGATGCGCTTTTATTTAAGCATCAAATATATCATAATCATTGTCGTAGTACTCAAGTTCATTTTCATCTCCCTTACTCTCTGTTGGAAGGAGGAAAGAAACACTCCAGACCTGGTGGGGATTTGTTCCCCTTTCCCCAAAGCTGTATTCTTTCTGCTCAGCCTTTCCCTGGCCAAAGTCACTGCCAGCTTTYGCCATATAAACACTAAGTATTAGGCAACCTCCTGCATCCATCCAATTCTGTCTTTACCAAACAGTGTGGTAGCGTTGCATTGACTACTGAATCTGAGCATCAAGGCCAAAGTATATCTCATTAAACCCATGGGAACTCTATAATTTCCTTAAGATGTCTCTTTGCCCACCTTCTCACAAAACGGCACATAAACTCAGTGAGATACCTTATTTGTGACAATGAGGTTCTGTTTTTATCTTACAGTTTGTCCCAAAGATGCTTACTGTTTTGTAGTCTTCCTGGAAAGGACTATCAAGACATACCTTTGTAATGGAAAAAAAGTCATTTTCAAGAACTGGGGAACTCTTTTCCTTGTCTTTTGATCCTTCCTTATTTTTTTCCCCTCAAATACAAAGTGAGATTAGTATATCATTACATATTCTTGAGAGATGGAGAAAGAATATTAAATCCATGTTAAGTATTTTTTGCTGCCAAGTCATAACATTTCTGCAAAGCCCCCTGGAAGGTTGAGTTTAGGAATGACTCTGCCTTGGCAGTGTGTTTGGAGAGTCAGTAATTCTTTTTTTTTTTTCATCTTGCTGACCCTTCTGTCCCTTCTTCTTCAAGCAGCATTTATTGACTACTTCCATACAGCTTTTCATGTTCCCTGTATTTTCTTTCAGTCTTACATTGTGGGAACTTTACTTGTTGTTTTACTCACCAGATGAATAGAAAATATTTTTCTTTAGTTGTAACTAAAACTGCTATTTGGCTTTATTCCCAAAAAGCAGAAAGACAATTATACTTAACTGTTTAGAGATTTATAAATACCATACCAGAGTAGCCTCTGGGTAGTAACTTTAGATATCTGAGTCAATAATTTTCTTTTATTGGTTAGTGATTTAGATCTTATTTTGAGTTCTATATAATAAGAGCAGTACATTTCATTAAAAACACTTACTAAACAATAAAAAGTGGTCTTATGGCTCCAAGCAGGTCTTAAGTACAGAAGGGGAGGCTGTATAGCAACATTTTTTTTCTATAGGCATTACAAGACAGATCACAGTAGAGCAGAGTAGATATATTTCAGCATAGTAACGATTGCAGCTGTTTTCTGAATGACTTCAACTTATGAGAATTTTCCCTAGGAACACTATTTCAACACATGAGAAGTCTTTTTAAGGCCTCCATTTACGGTTCTCGTAATAGATCCCCCAACAAGAAAGAATAAAGAGAAAAAAAATGAAGAGGGGAACTCTTGAGTAATACATCTCTCATACATCACAGGGGATTCTTCCAAGGAAAATCCTACAAAATCAAGTAAATATCTTGAAAATCTTACACACTGACTTTTTATTATAACACATTCTTCAACCTTAAATAACTTTGTACAAGTTTAGTTCAATTTAATTTCATTCCCTTAGTAATCACTTGTGGCTTCATTACCACCTTTTTTGTGTGTGCAGGCTTAAACTTTGTTTGAAGGGACAAAAACGGATATTAGTATTTCACAGACACTGAGTTTCATTAGATTTATTTCACAGTCTCTTGATACATTAATCTATAAATTAATATACCTTTGGCAGACCTAGTCTTCCAATC